TCAGCTAATAAATAGAAGCAGGCTATAAGCATACATAGTGTGTCTCTAGACACTGTTCTCAAATCCCTCAGTTGTATTATCTGTCAAATAGAGGTATGTCAATATGATCAACAATACTGCAATATTATCATCACCAAGAATAACAATTATAGTATATAACATTTTTATTCTTTATATAGACTTGTCACTAGGCTTCCCAGGTGGTGGTAGTGTTGAAGAACCCATCTGCCAATGCAGGAGACATAAGAGATGCAGATTTGATTCCCGAGTCAGAAAGATCCCCTGGAGGAGGGCATGGCTTAATCCTTAAAGTATGTTTGAAGTAGGACCCTTTAACAGTCCTTTAAAATAATAAATACCCATATTATCTCTAAAGAGATTATATAATTCATTTTTATAACAGAGACCAGTAATTCCCACATAGGAATATAACAAAGTCTGAGGGAGAAAAATAAAACAGTGTAAGTTATTATATTTACCAAAGGAACATGGGTTAAAAAAGGTTGAGAGACTGTCACAAAGAAAAATTATTTGGACATCTTGGGAGATCTTTCATCAAATGGAAAAAGGAAAGTTCACAAAAGTTAATTGATTAAAAAAGTAAACTAAATCTAGAACAAATGAATTTTAATGACTATCTTTCAAAGAATGATTAATTTGTTAATTATGCATTATAAAACTAAAAGTTGGTGTATGGATGGTATGCTATGGAGAATACTGCACTGAAAGCAGAGACATCTGAGTTTAAGTCCCAGCACTGTTACCATTGTTGGGGTCCTTCATTGTTCTTGATTTCAGTTTTCTTATGTGAAAACGAAGGGATAGCCCAGAAGACTGTTAAGTGCCTTAGCGTCCTGCTTCTCTATAACTCACCTAAACTTTTGCCATTTTTTGTAAAAGTATTTTGTAGCCTCCGCATAAGAAAAAAAAAAAAAAGATGTGATAATTGTGGGATGATAGCTACAACTCTTAGCAGCAGCAGCAGCTACAACTGTAACTAGAACCTAAGTCCTTGACTCTAAGGCCAACAAACTGGTAGATTATTCATTATAACCATTCTGCAAACCAGAACCACTTGTGGGGCTCCAGCAACCTGGAAGCTATCATTCAGTAGATCTGACAGTGCATCTGAGCCTATGTAGTTTGAGCATCTCACGCAGTGATTTTTGCTGTTTATCAATCTGCTTCCCTTGTGGCTCAGCTGGTAAAGAATCCGCCTGCAATGCAGGAGACCTGGGTTTGGTCCCTGGGTTGGGAAGATCCCCTGGAGAAGGGAACTGCTATCCACTCCAGCATTCTGACCTGGAGAATTCCATGGACTGTATAGTCCATGGGGTCGCAAAGAGTCAGAAACAACTGTGTGACCTTTACTTTCACTCACTTTCACTTGTGAATAATCATTGTTCCAGATTCTCTTTTGAAAAAATGTTACTTGAGTTTAAGTTGAAGACAAAGACTTATGCTAACAAGGGAAACAAATGCAACATTATAATTAATCTCAAAAAAGACTATTTCTTTTTTAGTCATCTGTGGATAAGATCAATATTTCTTATGTGACTTGCACTGTATCAGAGCCTACAGATCTTAGATACTTGAACTTATTTTTTGATGTGATAATAGAAGATCAAGTAATAGAAACTCAGTTGGCATTGAGATGGAATATTCAGAAAATATACATGCACACACATATGCTTAAACATAGTGCATAAGTTCATAAAGATAAGTAAATACAAAACTTTTAATCTCCATTATCTTTTGTTTGCTCTTCCTAATTCATGCACCACTTTTTTCACCCTTTTCTATCCTGCTCTGCGCTCTGGGAGACTGACCTGAATGAACTGTAATAGTACACATAGCCTTTGGCCAATGGGTAACCGGTAGGATACTGTACAAAAGGATAAAAGTGAATTCAGCGTGTTTTTGCCCATGGATCACTCCTGCTCATCTTCAGCTGACTGTGTCCCTTGACTAAAGGTCACTGATCCCCTTCAGCCTGGTGAATAGTTTATGACACTCTGTGCTTTAAAGTTTTGATACTTGGCTCCTTTCCTCATTCCTTGAAAAACTGTAGCAGTTCTGATGCAATTGGCCCCAGTTTAGTGCACAAACTCTTGTAGATTTTCTGCATTTACACTTTTAAATAGATGGTTGTAAATAAGCCCACCTGGAATTATCAAATTTTGTGCATGACATCTATATTTCCTATTTATAGAGATCCTGATTGAAACAGTCTTTTATGTTAAAGTTACCTTTGAAAATCTTTGGTTAAGACAAAAGAAGTAAGATGTATGGAAACTTGAACTGCAATTTGATTAAATAAATAAATAGTCATAGCTGATAAAAGCAGTATGCTTAAGAAATTGAGGAAAAATACAAAATTCCTATTATTAAAATTGAGGTAGCAGTGAATATAAGAAGATGAGATGTTGGCCTGATATGGAAAAAAAGTAAGGAGATGTGAATTTTAACTGATACAAACACCAAATCATAAGGCTGAAACTGATAGAGCTTTCTCTATGCTCCAGACACACTTGATCTGTGCTACTACATTCATCTAGGGGCATTACCAGAATAATATAGGCAAGCTGGAAGGATTCATAAAAGAGTAACAAAATGATAAAAAGTGCTGAAGGATTGACCTATAAGAAGAGATTAAAAAGAGGAAATCACTTCGCTTTAGCTAAGCAGTGACTAAGGGGAACATGTCAAACATCTATAATTATGTGAAGGTTATAAACTCCAAAAGATAGGCAGCGATCACTACAAATCAAGGGTGCAGTGCTCTGTGGAAAGAGAAGTTAAGAAAAGGAGATTTTAACTCAAAAAACAGGACCATTTCCTAATGTATACCTATTTTATGTTCTAAAGCTAAGTGTTCTATAATATAGCCTTTGAAAAAGACAAGAATAAAACAAATTACAAACCATTACTTATTATATATGTAGATTCTTTGCAATCTATCTATTTCTATCTATCCTACCCACCTAACTAGCTGATCTAACTATCGGTGTATCTCAGAAATCAACCTTTCACAAACATATATAGCTATTTATTTAGCAATATATTAAATAAATATTTATTTAGTAAGCATCTCATTTAATTGTTAACATTACATTTTAGCAATCAGAGAAACTTAGGGTAAGAAAATTTAAGCAATGTTCTGAAGGTTACCCAGCTAGTAAGTATCACAGTCAGAGTACAAACCCAGGGGTTTTATCTCCATGTCTCTGCTTATCATCCTTGAATAGTTAAACTACTTCAGTACATTATTATATCATTTCCATAATTCTCCATTCTTGAACAATCCATGTGGTCATCACCCACTCTAGCTATGTGATAAAGCCTAAAGTAGTTTTCATTTCCTTATCCTAGACAATACTTATTTTTAATCTTGCAAAATAATTCCTTAATTCACTACTGTACACAATTCAAGTTATTCAGCAAGTCATAATTATTTATAAAGTTTAAATTTAAGGAAGTATGCTATTGAGTTCTCTTAAAAAATAATCACCTCTCACAAATTCTTTGAGTTGAAAATACATTGAAAGAAAACCTTGGTCATGGCTAATATTTCAAATAGTACAGAGACCATAAAGTGACATGAATGAGTCCTTTTCACTTAAAACCTTCAACCTCTGTGGTTAGAGATAACTGCTACTAATAGTTTCCTTTGTGTCTTTCCAGGAATTTTCTATGTACATATTTGTGCACACTTTCTTTTCTTCACTTAGAAGTTATTTTGGTTGTTTTTCCACATCAACACATAAATTGGTGCTTTATCCTTTTTAAGGACTGTAAAATATTCTATTGAATGGGTGTAACATTATTTGTCAATTTCCCTGTTGATGGATATTTATATAGCTTCTAAAATAATCAGTCCTATTATGAACATACATTTACATTCATCTTTGCAGACTTATCCCTTACTGATAGAGCAAATTTGTAGCTGGAGCATTTTCTAGGTCAAAGCATATGTATGTTTACATTTTTATAGGTTTATCTACAAAATAGATTTTACATTAATACAAAAATATGAGAGTCTAAACAGGCTGCTCACACTCTAAAATTCACAGAGAACCCCAACATGTCATGGTATTAACTTCTGCTTTGTGAGCATAAATGGCATTTTGCCAAACATTTTATTCTACATAAATATTTTATTCCTGGACCAGGTTTATCATTGCCTACTTCTATTTCAAGTCATTAACATATTACTTGTTTATATTTTTCTGTGACTTAATTAAAAGAAACTTGCTAATGTTTAAAATAACAGATTTGACTAATTATTTGTCTTACACCTTGACTTACACTATTTCTTCCATCTGGAAAATCTACCTCGTTTTAACCCCACATGTCTATGTCCTACCTACCCTTCATGATTTCTTTCAAATGATTCCTTCTCCATCTAAATCTTGTTTCTTTCCTCAGAACTCCCAGCACCTTATTTAACCATTTAGAGTTCACATTATATATAAGTCCACGATCAATGGTGGCTATCATTATTATTAAACACTGGATCTTTCCAGTTCTATAAATGTTCTTATTCTCTCCTGCCTTCCTTTGCCTTCTTCAATGGATGGCTCGAACTCAAACTACACATTTAGTATTGTGATACTATTTTTATTCTCTTTTAAAATAAATGGTTCAATTTTTAATTTTTAATATCAACAGGTTAAAGTAATATTTTTATTCTAAAGTTTCAGATTTTCAAACACAGCAGAAAATGATTTAAGATGTATCTTTAGAACTCATAAACACATGCAATTTTAAAAATTAAGAGTTAAATCTGAAACATGCTGCTGAGAGTTAATGTGGATGCTATCATATTAAAGGCCTTTGGAGGCAAGCAAGCATAGTTTACACGCCATTGGACCTATTTATAGAGCTGACTCCTTTTTGCAATGTCAACTGTAACCTTATACTTATTTTAAGCCTCAGTGTCTCAAATATCAGCCTCTACTAGTTGTACAGTTCTCCCTTATTTGATATCAGAGAGCCCAATGGAGCCTTCTGAAGAACCTAGTCAGATTAGCAAAGATAACTTTTTAGAAGTTCCTAGTTTATCTGATTCTCTTTCTGAAGATGAAGAAGTTAAAGCTACCTTCAGACCTGGCTTCTCCCCACAACCTAGCAGACGAGGTTCTGATTCATCTGAAGACATTTACCTGGACTCTCCACCATCAAGTGCAAGAAGAGTTTCATTTGCTGACACCTTTGGATTCAATCTTGTGTCTGTTAAAGAGTTTGATTCCTGGGAATTACCGAGTGGTTCAATTGATTTTGACTTAAGGAAGGAAGTTTTCCACACAGAAGAATATGTTTTATCTCCACAATTTGGCTTGCCTTCTTCAAAAGAAGATCTTATGCAACAACTTCAAGTACAGAAAGCGATACTGGAATCAACCGAGTATCCTCCTGGATCTACAAGTATGAAGGGCATTATTCGAGTTTTGAATATTTCTTTTGAGAAGTTAGTATATGTGAGAATGTCCTTAGATGACTGGCAGACATATTATGATATATTAGCAGAATATATTCCAAATTCATATGATGGTGAAACTGACCAGTTCTCCTTTAAGATATCATTGGTTCCTCCTTATCAAAAAGATGGCAGTAAAGTTGAGTTTTGTATACGTTATGAAACTTCTGTTGGTACATTTTGGTCAAATAATAACGGCACAAATTATGTATTGGTTTGTCAAAAGAAAGAACAAGAGCCGGAGCCTGAAAAACTACAGGAAGATGTTCCTAATAGACAAATAAAAGGCTGCTTAAAGGTAAAATCAAGGTGAGGATATATCTTACATCATTACTTTTCATAATTTTAAAGTTTTTAAAAGTCATTCTTTATTTCGCTACTAAGAAATAGCCATGCTATTTAAAAATATAGTCTTGTTATGTATAAAGCAATGGTGCTAGGCTTTAACAAGGTCAGTGATATTTGAATAATAGCACTGTGTCATCTCTCCTCCAGATGTAAGGAAAATATGGGTATAATGTAACTGATAGCAGGGGGAGTGAAATATGTATATTTCCTACCTAATGAGCTATAAATTGCTAAAATTTAAACCATGGAATCTAGATTCTTAATATGTAAAACTGTTTATTTTGCCATTTAAAGTATATTTACATTTAGTGTTTTAAATCCTTTTGCTGTAATTAAAAACATTTCTGATGAGCATAAAACTGTGTTTCAATATGTACCTAGTGCTCAGAAATTCATAGACTTCCCCTCAAACTTTTCAATGACATTTAGTTGTATAGGGATGTCTGGAGTGACACACATTTAGTTACATTTTAAGAGCTATGATGACTTTAGTGATAAGCTAAGATAAAGTAGTATATGAGTGGTATATGAATTATCTATAAAAATTATAACCAAATGTAACATTATAGAACACAAAGTAGTATAATTCAGTAAAAGTAAATGGAGCAGAATAAAAAAAATGACCCAAGTAGAGATAAGGATATTAGCTTTATAGATTAGAGATTTGGGATATATGACCCTTCATTAGTAACCTTGCTCTCTTGTTAATGTAAAAAAATAAAATAAAAATAAATGGGTATTCAGTTCTGTCTGTTGTAGAGTTGGCTCATTTCCATGACAGTAGGTGAGTAGATACAACATCCAGGAGGAGATGGATGTCTCATGATCCTCAGAGTGTCCCAAAGGAAAATCACATTGCTGTACCAGCCACAGGCAAAAGCTTGATTATTTTCTGGATGGTCCATCCTAACTGTCATTAGACCCAAAGATTCTAGTAACTGCACCAGAAATAGTGTAATATGATTAAAAGGGAACTGTATTAGGAATCAAGACATCCAGATTCTAAGTGGACTTAAATAAAAACATAAAGAATTACATTGGAAAATTTTTAAATCTCTCATGCTTTAATGCCTTGATCTAGTATATGATAATAAATAATAACCACTAAATGTGCTATTCTAATGCATTAATGAACTAAATATAATGTAAGTGAAGCAATTCAATCATATAAAATATTTCTGTTTTCATTATCCTTTAAAGTAATTTAAAGATGGTTTACCCGACTTTGTGAGTTATGCTGTCTTTCTTAGTCCAAATAAACTTTCTTAGGTTTTAACTGATGCTATTGAGAAATAATAAAATCATAATCTGTGTGCTAAAATAATTTATGTTTATTAGATTACTCAGCAACGTGTTAGCTATGTAGACAAAATATGTTCAACACGATTTAATAAACTAATTTGTCATAAACATACACATATTAAATACTTTACAAATAAGATCATCATCAGTGAATAATGTACAGGCTGCAGCTTGGTCTATATATTAGAGAAAAGCAAAATTTAAAAAAGGCAAAGCCGTATTGTCAAAGATCTCATAAAAGAAGGAGTATTTAACTCTGGATTTTTCTGCAAGTTAGAAACACAGTTTAAAATTATAAGCATTACAAGCTGAACTATGATAAAGATAGAGGATTCCTTTGATAGACCAAACTTGACTTGAAAATAAGAACAAAAGTGGATAACTGCTAGACCTAATCTATCCCAGTCTTGATATTATTGAAACTCCTCCTAGTCTAAGATAAGTATAACTGGATATATATCCATACCCACATTTATATTCAGAACAGTAATTTTTAGGTTCATAGCGGACACCATTCAAGTTTTAATATTGCTTTGGGGAAAAACTTGAGAAGAACTAAACCACAAAATGGTCTAAAGGCCTGTAAAGTTTCCTAATGAGTTATAAAAATGGAAAAAATCTCTCTCCTTCAAAACCACAAATACATTTTCTGCACTTCTATAACTTAAAAATGACCAACATAATTCAAACCACATTTTGAAAAAAAAAATGCATTTGCCTCTGGAGAAGGCCTTTTGTGCTAGTTTCAGTCCAACATGAATTTTTACATCTGATTTATATACCACTCAAAATGGAGTGTATAAAGGAAATCCTGACAGATCCTTAGAACAGCATGTGCCATAATAGAATATTTATACAGCTTTTCCATGATATAATTTATATGCAATGGGGTTTCAAATATTCCTAAAACTCACACAAGAGAGCATTATCAAATTTCTAAATGAATATTGCAGTTGGATTTCATTGTGAAGAATTTGGTTAGGGAAAAATAGCACATCTTATTAGTGTTCCTTTACAAAATGTGTACTCGGCTAAAGCAAAAATTCGCTAACACTGATTTGATCAAAAAAGTTACAGCTTCTAAAATATCTTCCTCCCTTCAAAAGTTACAGAATTTTGTAATTTAATTTAGAGGTCACTTCTTTGAGAAGATAAATGCAGAAGAGAAATATATGTGAATTTTTACTTCATATATACAGGTAGATTAATAATAGTATGTAATATAAGCCAGAGTTAGACTGAAAATAAGTCTGTCTTAACGTAGAGAGTAGCAACTAACGTGAACTCCTCTCGATTCCAAAGTTAATTTGCTATCAGGGTCTCAGAGATTGTATCTTCTAAAAGCGTCAAGAATCCCTTCTAACACATACAGAATGAACTGTGGGAATACATTTAGTGAGGTAGGATTTCTGTTATGTCAGTCACCCTAGGCATGATGTTTTCTCTATGGAAGATTTTTTCAGGTCAGAGTTTGCAAACCTCCACATTGATGTGGTTGTCTGATTTTTTGTTTTTGGTTTTTCTTTATTTTTATTAATCTATCCCCTTTGGATAGAAAGAAATATCTAGTTGGGGGCTGGAGAGAATTTGTAACTCATAGGCATGTGACCGAGAGTGACCCAGAGGTATTTAATTGCACTGAAAGGCATGTATCATGAGATACTTGATTAAGTGTCACCACAGATGTAGTACTGGAGTATGTGTTAGCAAACAAACTAAGCAGACTGCTGATCTACGTCCCATGGAGATTATTTCAAAATAAGTGACCAAAAGAATTAAATAACATTGACAGAAGTAATATTAGATATATTAGATAAATAAAGTAAAAATAACATGCAGAAGCAATATACCTTCACAGTTAAAATTTGGGTTTCAGAGATAAACATATCTGGGTTTGAGTCTAAGCTGCACCACATGCTAGCTGTGTGATCTTCTGCAAGTTAAACTCATACTCCTTCTGTTAATTGTGAATAACAATGGTACAATCTCATAGAGATTGTTAGAGATTTCCATAAAATAATACATATGAAGTTTTGGCCTAGTGTATGGCACATAGTAAGTTATCAGAAAATAATAACTCCTGTAAAAAGCCAAGGCTAACTCTAGCTTTAGGTGGATCTGAAAAACCCTAGAGGGGCCCAAACTGTCCAAAAGTTTCTCTTTTCTTTCTTTTCAGAGTTTCTGAAATTTCCGTTTTGGAGAGCAATTTTCTTTGTTTTTTTTTTCAGGATTTTAAACAACAAGGCAAACCCATTGAATTGTCAGTTTTCTTGAGATGTGTGTTACCTGATATCTGGAACATCTTAAAGTTGGAAAAGATCTTAATGACTATTAAAATTTTCATGTTTAATAAATTTAAAAATTGAGGACTAGATCAAAAGGGTTAAAAAAGGCTTGATTGTGGTATTGAACAGACACTCATATTTATCACAGTAAATATTCACTTAATAACTGTGTGGCTACGGACATATTATTTTACTTCTCAAAGTCGCTATTTATTTATATGTAAAATAGGGGCAATGGTGCTTGTCCAGTCTTGCGATGATTAAGTTAACATAAAATGAGATTATATTTTTAAAGCTTCTAGTAAAGTGTTGGGCACATATATAGCCATCAAAACTCAAATATAATTGCCATCATTATTATCAAATTGTGCTCAGCTAATTTCTTGGTTCTTGGACTTGTGTTATTTCTTCTGACATCATAGTCTTCTTGTTAGGGTTTCAAAATTCATTCCATAAGTGTTTATTAAGGGCCTGTGTGTCAGGTACTGTGTTGTTAGGTACAAGGTTGGAAACATGACTCAGTGAAGACCAGAGGCCCCAAGGAAACAGTCCTCACAGGGGCTGAGAGCAGAGGGGGTGAGGGGAGAGAACATTAAAGCCAAGCTCAGATTCTTTTTTTTTTTTTTTCAAGCTCAGATTCTTCAGGTAAAACAAGGGAAGCCACGGATGAAAAATAAGAACCACTTACATTACAGTTTGAGTTTTCTCAAATCTGTGATCAATAACTGATCTTGAGTACTGGCCAGGGGACTGACCTTTTCAGCATATCCTTTTCCCTACCAACAGCTGCTAAATGTTCCCAACTGTTAGGTACACAGACTGACTTCACATGGTCTTGTATTTTATTAAGTGAAACCAATTTATTATTTTAAGTAATGAAATGGCATGATATAGGTGTTGGATGGTATTTATAACTTGGCCAGGTGAATGCAAATAAATTCCTGAAAGATTTCAATGCCAAAAGAAAAGAAAAAAGATCACTCTTCAGTTTCTGTACCTGAGGAATAATAGAAACAGGCACATTCAAGAATGGGAATGAGAGAGAGGCTTTCTAAAGTATGACTTGAAGATTACAGAGAGTTTATCTTTCAGGGTGGTAAATTGTTAAAATGAGGCCAAGAAAAACATACGAAAATGGTGCCTAATATATGCTCACATTGCATGCTCCAGTCAGAGCTATAGCATTGTGAGACTTCCTTAATTTACACTTACAGTATAATCTGGAGTCCTGGAAATAGTCCAAAGAAGTGTAAATAGCCCCATGAAGCCTTTAGGACTTAATATATTCCATAACTAACCTGTTTTGAGTCCTGACTAATTGTGGAAGCCTGGTCTGTTTAAGGGAGGGACCTCTGGCAAGGCCACATGGAAACA